CACGACAGACACCTGGTGCTTGCACTTATGTGACTGTCAGAACTATCCACCCAGTGGACAGAAGGGGCAGCATTTATCCATCAAGTCCCTTCCTCCATTGCTCAAGATAAGACCACAGACATTAACTCTCCTGCACTTCTAGGTAGTGCTTGCAGGTGTGCACTTCTGGGAGTGCCAAACAGGTGCCCATAGGCATCCCATATGGAGGCATCAGGAGTCCCAGAATAGGAAACAAGAGCATCTGCACAAAGCTGACCTGTGTGGAACCAGTCATTTCAGTAGTGGCTGGGATAAAAGAAGAAGCTAAGAAGGCATTAAATTATGCACAAGAGGTGCTCAAGAGAAGCCCACGGACACACACACATACAAACACTTAGTGGCATGGGAATAAGTTTACCCGTGTGCTTATATTTTTGCTTTTGTCTGTTTCACATATTGAATAATCCCAGTTGTTTTATTGCTATTCTTAAATGTATACGATTTGTAAAATATTTCATATTTGAGAAATATAGTGAAAGATTTTTTATCTAGAACATTTAAAGCTGACTTTTCCAGATTAGCAATATTTTCAAAGTTCATTTTTTTTGAAGAACAATTGACACACAATATTCTATTAGTTTCAGGTGTACATTATAGTGATTCAACATTTATATACATTATGAAATGATCACCACAGTAAGTCTAGTTACCATCTGTTACCAAACAAAGTTATTACAATTATTTACTATGCTCCTTATGCTGTACATTACATCCTCATGACTTATTTATTTTATAACTGGAAGTTTGTACCCCTTAATCCCCTTTACCTATTTTGCCCAGCCCCCCAACCCCTCCTCCCTCTGGAATCCACTAGGTTGTTTCCTTGTATCTATGAGTCTGCTTCTGTTTCATTTTGGTTTTCTTTTAGATTCCACATATAAGTGAAATTATACAGTATTTGTCTTTCTCTGACTTATTTCACTTAGCATAATGCCCTCAAAGTCCACCCATGTTGTTGCAAATGGCAAGATTTCAGTCTTTTTTACAGCTAAGTAATATTCCATTGTGTGTATGTGTATGTATATATATACACACACACATATATATACATATATATATATACACACACACACATATATATACTTACCACACCTTCTTAATCCATTCATCTACAGGTGGACACTTAGATTGCTTCCATATCTTGGCTATTGTAAATAATGCTGCAATAAACATAGGGGTACACATATCTCTTCAAATTAGTGTTTTCGTTTTCTTTGAACAGATACCTAGAAGTGGAATTGCTGGATCATATGGCACAGGGAAAGATGCTCAATGTCACTGATCATCAGGGAGATGCAAATCAAAACCACAATGAGATATTACCTCACACCTGTCGGAATGGCTATTATCAAAAAGACATGAAATAACAAGTGTTGGCAAGGATATGGAGAAAAGAATCCTCCTACACTGCTGGTGGGAAAGTAAATTGGTACAGCCACCAAGGAAAACAGTATGGAGGTTCCTCAAAAAGTCAAAGTTCATATATTTTAACCCAAGGAGCTTGCAGTGCATCTTAGGATCTGCTGCAGCCTGGCCAAGGATCTCTCAGAGCTGCAATTCAGCCTGAGGCTCTTCCTCCCACAAGTCTCTTTCCTTCCCTCTCTCCCTTCATAGGTGTCAGACCTGCATCGTAGTCTGACACATTCCTCTCCTACTCCTGCTTCCTCTCGTCTTAATTCTTCACAGGCATTTCCCCAATAAATCTCTTATACAAACAAGGACCCAAACTAACACAGGCCCCAACATCCAGATGCATTCTCTTGAGTTTTTTCTTCTAATAAATAAATTAATCAAAGCAATATATACTTTCCCTACTGCAACTTAATGCATTGAAATAATGGCTCTTATTTCAACAATCATAGTTTAAAAACCCTGATAACATCACAGTGATCTCACTAGTAATGCACATTGTGATCTGAGCCATTTTCTGTGGTGAAGATTGAGCTCTTGTCACCCCATTCACTTGTCATTTTCCACAGAGAATATACACTCTTTATAGAAAAGTAAATAATCCACTTTAATAAACACTATTATAAAAATTGAATGGTCATTCAATAGGGGAGTGTTCTAAAATTTTTTAAGATGATCTGCATATCAAATTAAGTGTTTATATTTTAAAAGTAGGATTATGGGTGAAATTTTTCATGATTGAAAGCTTGGAAAGGAGGAAAAATACAATCAACATTTCTAATTTTCATGCAAAATACAAAAATATACAATCAACTGAGTTTGCTTAGATCTATAAAAGACCCTAGAAATGGAACTTCCTGGAGTATAATGGATATATCATCAGGAACAGTCCTTCCAAGCCCATCAGAACTACACCCAGAAGGACCCTGGTAAATAATCTCATGTTCTTTAGCACTGATCATTTGTCTAGGAATAAAGTTTGAGTTAACATAGTAATCAAGAAAATTCCATTGAACACTGTTACTTTGTCCTGAGTCATGCCTAGGTCTATATTTTTGGACATCTGAGCCCTCTCATTGCTTCTTCCTACAAAAAAGGAATGCTAGCCTTCCCCAGAGTCTAGGAACAACTGTAATGAATTTCCATCAATCTGAAATCCCATCAGAGATAAGTAAGCCTATTTGATTAATGCAAGTTTGGTTAGATTTACTACACATTAAATACAGTTTTAGGAAACAGTAAACACGAGAATACTGATCTCAGTTTCAGGAAATTCAAAACTTAACAACTATCACTTATTGAGTATCTACCATGTCAGATATTCCAAATATATATACGCCCTAATTCCCAATGTAGGATATAAAAAGTTACATTTTACTCAATCAAATTAAATGTCATTACATTTGCCACACTACACACATGCATACACACCTCGAATATATATGTGTGTGTATAAATATATGTGCGTTTATATATATATAAACTCTATCCTCACATGTGTCAGTAAAAAGGACCAGTTCTGATTGCCTGTCCTTGCCATTGGAACCAGAATTTCATTGTGCCTCCTTGAGGCTGCTTTTGGATGCTGATTTCTCCAAAATATCCTGAAAAGCTACTAGTGATTCCCCAGCAGGGGAAGCCTATTGTCTTTGCTCCTGGCCAATCTGTAATGCTGTCACTCTTATCTACAGCCCTCCCATTACTGGGGTGTTACCATGATTATTTATGCCGAGGAGTCCAGTTCTGGTTACTCTCACATGACAATTAGAGCAGAATCTCAGACACTGCAATAGCCTAAAAAATGAATAGGAAATGAAGCAGTTCATTCTCTTTTTTTTTTCATGTACACCAATCAGTTCACCACCACTTCCAGAAGTGCTTGGTGTCAAACTTCGCACCTTCTCATCATTCCTTTAGTTTTCTGGTGATTGACTTCCCCTTCTGCCTTCCCTCAAACCCATCTCTCTCCTCCCTCAATATGATTGGCAACTGGAAAATCTACTGCTTTTTTTCCTGAGGGCCCCAACATAATCCTCACAACAGCAATGTGACCATGGAAAAGACCTTGGTAAGCACACCAGCATTCACTTTCGGGTATAAGTTGGATATATAACGCTGAAATTTGATGTTGACTTAAGGAAGCTGAAGCTCCAGTGGAGAGAAGTAACACTGCCCAAGGCCATGCAGGTTCTCAGATTCAGGATTTGACCCCATAACTCTAAAAACTTGGCACATTCTGCAAAACTATGCTGCTTCCCATGTTTCAAACTCACCAGTATTCTGAAATGTCGTGGCGGCAAAGTCCCCATATCATTTTGTCACCTTGTTCTGCTTTCCAAACATCCAACAATATTAGAGCTCACTCACTTTCTCCCATCATCTCTCTCCACTTGTGTGTGTTAAGCAGAGCTTTGCTTAGAAGAATCCTACCTTCATATAGATTTGGTCTTTGAAACGCATGTGTTCCTGCATGACTACTTGCTCCAATGTAGGCATTTCATCCCATTCCTAAGCATCTATTCAAATGCCAAGTAGATCTCTAAGCCCCAGTGACTTAGAAGAATCTCTATCTAGAAAATTGGTCTAGGTGGTCACAGATGTAAAAATGAAATGAGGGAAGTCTAACTTTCCTGAAGAAGAGTAATGACCACCCACTAATGGCAAGCCTATGAGCCTTCTTTGAATGTATATAAATTGCACCTGGCAATATATTAATTACAAAACCATGAGTTATTAACTGAATTTTGACAGCTGACCATATCCTATAATGTCTAGGAATCTAGGGCCTTCATGAGTTTGTGGGAGAGACAGAGGCATGCCTAGCTGTGGCAGACTCACAGTGATGTGGGTAGGAGGGGAGCCTCAGAGACATGAGAAAACTGGCAGAGATTCTTATGGACTGAAAGAATGCCCAGCATTAAACAGTTTTTTGTCCTCTATCCCCTAAACCAGAAAGAGTATAGTAAATCCTCAAAAAAGGAGTACAGTAGGTCCTCAAAAATGTGTCTAATACAAGAAAAACCGCAAAATGTTGAAAGACATTAAGGAAGATCTAAATAAATATAAAGATACCCATGTTCATGGGTCTTATTGTCAAGATGGCAGCATTCCTCAAATTGATCTACAGGTTCAACACATCCTTATCAAAATCCAAACTTGGCTTTTTTTATAAAAATTGGCAAGCTGAGCCTAAAATTCACATGCAAATGCAAAGGTCCCAGAATAGCCAAATAATCTTGAAAAAAGAACAAAGTTGGAGGGCTCACACTTCCCGATTTCAAAACTTACTACAAATCTACAGTAATAAAGTCATTGTGGTACTGGCATAAGAATAGACAAATAGATCAGTGAAACAAAACTGAAAGGCCAAAAATAAACCCTTATATTTATGGTCAATTGATTTTCTACAAGGGTGGCATGACAATTTAATGAGGGAAAGTACAGTCTTTTCAACAAATAGTGCTGGAACAAATAGATATTCACATGCAAAAACATGAATTTGGATGCCTATCTCATATCATACACAAAAATTAACTCAAAATGCATCAGCAACCTAAATGTAAGAGCTAAAACTATAAAACTCCTGGAGGAAAACATAGTAGCAAATCTATGTGGCCTTGGATTAGGCATTGTTAGATATGATACTAAGAAGTTAGATATGATACTACGAGCACAAGCAACAAAATTTAAAATATATAAACTGGACTTTATCAAACCGAACTTTATCAAAAGGAAAAACTTTTGTGCTGCAAACAATACCATCAAGAAAGTGAAAAGACAATCCACACAAAGAGAAAAGACATTTGAAAGTCATATCTGATAAGAGACTTGTATCCAGAATACATTAAAATAACTTACAACTCAATAATAATAAGATAAATAAGCCAATTTAGAAATGAGCAAGGGATTTGAAAAGACATTTCTCCAAAGAAGATATACAAATAGCCAATATGCACTTGAAAAGATGTTCAACATAATTGGTTATTAGGGAAATGCAAATCAAAACCACAATGAGAGATGACTTCGCATGTACTAGGATGGCTAAAATCAAAAAGACAGACAATAACAAGCACTGATGTGGATGTGGAGAAATTGGAACCTTCATTCACTGCTAGCGGTAATATAAAATGGTGCAGTAATTCAGAAAAAAGTTTGGCAGTTCCTTATAATGATAAATATAGAGTTACCATATGACCCAGCAATTTCATTCCTAGGTACATACCCAAGAGAAATGAAAACATATGTCCCTTTACTGAGTTTCTCTTTGGCTCATCTTAATTTAGTTACACAAAGCTAATTTTGCCAAACACAGAAGAGCATATACAGTGCAATCTATTACATCTGTTCAGATTCTGATTAAAGTAGAATAACATTTTCTTCCTTAGCTGGTTTCAAATGTTGGAGTCTAAATATATCTTTTGTATTCCTAGTTTAGATTATCACTCTGACCCCAGTCACATAAAATTTGAAATTCTGAGTTAAGGAGCTCTAGGCTACTGATGATCTTTCTCTATATACAGAGTGCTGAAACTCCACGATGATTTGTTTATAGTTGTATGAAGACATAGTTAAATCAGGATTCTTGGCAAATGCCTGTTACTTTAACCTAAGAATAAGCCCCGTGGCCTGCAGAGAACCATGCAGCATTAAGAACTCAGCCAACTAGGAGGAGTTATGAACCTAAGTGTTCCATAATGGACCACATTTTCCAAATACATCTCAACTTCATATTTTATTTATGAATTAAGTTTAATTAGCATGACAATAAAGGAGTGCTTGAAAGGCATTTTGAATAAATTGGAATTTTGAATGTTATTACTACCCTATCTCTCTAGGCGCATCAAAATCTTTTATTCAAGAACAAAAAGTACTTAGTATTAAATGATTTTATACTTGGACTTTTCATCTTGTATTCATAGCTACTATACTTTAAAGATAACATTTCCACTTACTTTTTAAAGGTTATCTTCTTATTGACTTCTTTCTCATTTTGTATTAGATCGTTCACTATCTATGATAACTTTACCGTGAAGAATTTGGGCCATGTACTCATTAGACCCTTCTTTGCCAAGGATGGAAATTCTTATTCAGTTACAAAAGGTGGTTTCAGTGCAAGAAATTCTTGAGCATGTTATCAGTAGGTCATTGTTGTGTAACAAACCACCCAAAAACATACTAGCTTAAAAGCATGATATTTTATTTTCATGTGTTTATAGCTTAGATGAGTATTTTTTCTGGTTTCTAGTGGACTCATAAATGTGCATAAGGTCATTGGTGATATGAGTAGGCAGCTCGGGTAATCTTGGCTTGGCTCTCCTACTTGTTTTTGGGGTCAGCTGGCTGTCACCTTGTCTAGGATAGTCCCAGTTCCTCTCTACATGGTCTCAGTCTCTCTCTCCCTTCCCAGCCCCCTTCTCTTCTGGTATGCTATGAAAACAAGCCCAGGCTAATGTGATAGAAAATGAGAGCAGAAGCATACAAGGCCTCTTGAAGCCTAGATTCAGAATTAACATATTGTCACTCTGTTTTGGCCAATGACTGTGGCAGGCCACAAGTCAGCCTTATTTCAAGGGGTGGGGAAATTTTAATTCCTCCCATCAATAAGTAGAGTCAGTAAATAATGTTGCAAAGGGTATGGCTATAGGAAAAAGGGAGAATCTACCTCAAGCATTGACTGTACACTGGGTATTAGGTCATAAAAGTACCAAGATAAATGGACATTATATTTTGGAATCTTGAGGTCACAGATTGTGAAGAAATTAGGAGCACAACTATAATGATGCAGGTCACATGGTGATAAGTGCTAAGAGGGAAGTGTGATAAGGGGAGGGGGAATCATGAAAGACTTCAAGATCCAGTTCTGATGACTATCTCCTGGGAAGGATTCATAAGATTTGAACAGGTTGAGGGAAGCAAAGGCATAAGATAAGAAGAACATGATGTATTCAGGAAATTTCAAGAATCCAAGTATGTGGAGGGTGGGAAAGTGAGGGAAAATAGCATTTTACTGGAAGGCATTCAGTTTAACCCCCAGCTGATTTTCCAGCATTTTCTCTTACAGAAAACAGCAGTTTTTGGATCTCCATCTGCTGAAAAAGTGAGAAACAGAATTAACACAACTAATTTTTAGAAAAAATTTTAGGGCATACTAGAGAGAGACATTTTCAGGGGCAAGTTTTTTGTTTTGGGGTTTTTTTTTAAGGCACTAAATTATCTGAAGTATCAAATACCCCTTCAACTCTTATGAAAACCAACTATAAAATCAAACCTTTTAATAAAAACTTAAGTTGGTCCATTCCACTGAGTGGGAGCTCTTGTGGGAGACACCTTTGGTTGTCTATGCTCTAGCTATTCTCTAATAGAAGACAGAACTCACAAGAAAACAATGCAGGTAAAGAGGTTAAAAATGCCAGATCTGCATTAATGCCAGATCTGCATTTTTGCCAGCCCTCTTTCCACTAAAACATGGGCATGTAACGCAATCCAGGCCAAGTCTCCTGAGGAGAAATATCTAGAAGGGGCTTCTGGGAAAGATTTTCTTCCTAATTAAAAATCAAAAAACCTATAGGAAAAAAATGCTTTTGTTTTTTTTGACCAGATGCTGTCTACATGTACTATCTAGAATTGTGGCCGCCATCTTGTATCCGTGAAGGAAATAGCCTAAAGACAAAGTCATGATGCTAACAATTGTCATGAGAAATAATAAAGTTTTCTCATGGCCTAAGCCAGGGATAAACAAATGAAGGGTTGGGTGAATGGTTTTAGAGGGCAGTCCATAAACTTAATTTAGTTTGTGTCTAAAGTCCATCATTGAGAAGCCCGTGTCCTGAATTTTCCACGTGGGTAGATTCCTAACTCAGAATCTCCTCTGCCCGCACAGTCCATGAGGCATGAAAAACATTTTTTAAAAAATGACACAAAGGCCTACAGGTTTTGTCAGAGTGCCCAGGGGCTGTTTGCTCACTTTAATATTGTCAATTAATATGTAATTAAGTACCAATTTTATAGATATGTGCTGTACTACCTTTGTCTCTTAATCTGCTAAAAGTATGCATTGTAAGGAACATGAGGGTGGGAAGTCAAATCTGAGATCAATTCCTTGTCCTGCCACACTTGGGTATTCATTTATTCAACAAATATTTATTGAGCCCCCACCAAGTGTCAGGCAGTAGGTACTAAGAATACGGTAATGAACAAAATAGATGTAGTCCCCACCCTCCTGGAACCTGCAGTCCAGTAAGGGAGACGGAACTTAAATGAACAAGTATAAATTGTAATGGCTATGAAGAAAAACTCTAAGACACTCTGGAAAACAGATTATGGGGTCAGAAAGTTAATCTCGGGGAAACGGTGTTTAAGTTTGTGACTGTGGGCTAGTTATTCAATTTAAGATCATTGCCTTATGTGTAAAGTGGAGACCCTTACAGTGTGCAAAGGATTAAGCAACAGCTCAGCAGGAGGGGTTGGGCAGAGACTCATAATTTTTAAGTTTTTTTAGCATCTATTCAAACTCAATCTCTCTTCTCTTTCAAGCCTCCTTACCTGGTCCCAATAGCTCTCCTGGATTTCTCACATCACATTGTATGGTAGGTGTTCCATAAATGTTCATTTAATAGTACCACCATGCCTTGTTCTCAAATCTAATAAATTTAGCTTTGGGTTTCATTTTCACTTGGACCCTAGTGACCAAGTTAAAGGCACAAATAAGAAACAATGCCTATTTTCCCACCCTAGTTTTCCTCTGAGCTCTAAAATTTCATCAATCTTCATTATGAAGAAATACTCAACTGTGGAAAACTAATGAGAGATGTTAATGCAAATTCCATTAAAATAGGGGGAAGCTGGGAAAACTTATCATTGAAGTGCTATTGAGAATCCCACATTTTTGTGTGTCTAGAATAGAGGTTACTTTATTTTTTGGCTCAATGAAGTTTTGTTTGAACTATTCTTAGAGCTAACAGATGTATCCTACAATTAGCCTGAACCAAGTAGGCTTGACAGCTTGAGGCCTTACCTTCTATCCGAGTGAGAGATGACTGTGGATTATTCAGTAGAGCCATGATTCTGATCTGCTAGCCCAGTGGATCAGCATAGACTTTGCTCTAAGTCATGAAGGGCCTTGGATGGCATGCTGAGGACTGTGGGCTTTACCTTTAGCAGCCTGAATTTTTAAATAAGACGATGAAATGTTCACATTTGTGTTTTATTCAGATAACTCTTCCTCTCCTTAAATCCTTATCTAGGGATCTGCTTCTGGGACAGCATGGCCTAAGGTAAGATCCGTCTCACAGACAGTTCTAGGGAGGTGATACCAGGAAACATTGATAGAGGAGTGAAGAAGTAACACAGGAAGGGAAGGGTGTCATTGAAGTTTACATTATTGAGAAGGTTGCAACTATGGGCAATTAAAGTTCAAATCCCAGGTGACCTCTGGGAGACTATGTAGAACATGCCTCAGAGTTTCCCATCAGAGTGTCTATCCACGAACTCCCATTCGTCAATCGTTGAGGGCTGCTCTTGGGAGTGTTAACTCCCCAACACTTCTTGTCTGCCCATGACACAAATTCAGCAGTCCCCAGAGAACAGAGAAAGTCCTCAGTGAGAGAGTTGTAGGTGTTTGCTGTACCAGGCTTGTGGCAAATCAGGGAACAGTGAGTGTCAAGGGATATAGCAGAGCACTGACAGCATCTGCTACAAAACTGTAAGTTATAAGGCTGCTGCTCTAGGCAGGCAAGAAATAATGGGGGCTTGAGCCATAACAGCAGCAGTAGGGATGGAGAGAAGAGGCAGTATTTGGAAATGAATTTGAAAGAGTCAATAGGACTGGTAACCACAGAAATAATAACAATGAAGAAAAGAATCCAGAGCAACTGCCAGATCTGTAGCTTGGGTGTTAGAGTGGGTGATGGTACTGTTAACTGGTTTAGGAAATACAGTAAAAACCCTCATCTTCTTCCCCAAATTCATGTCAAGTTTTAGGCATACCATATTTGAGATATTACTATCTCAAGTTGAGTTTCCTGGGAAGTTGACTCTGAGGTGGAGATTAGCATACAGCGAGTTTATTAGAGAATGCCCTTGGTATCAACTCATGATGAAGGGAAGAAAGTAGGATTCTTTCTTCCCTTCATCATGAAAAGTTAGGCCCCAATGCAGCCTCAATGGAAGCCCCAGGCAACACAATGGGGAGTTTTGAAAATGGAATAACCCTCAGAGTTGTCCCCACTTGAGTGACAAGATCAGGCGTTTATACCCCTATATTGATCAGTCATTGGAAGGAAGCTGCCCCAGGAAAGGGGCATGAGATTGAGTGAGGTGCCTCTCTTTAGCCTTGGACAATGAATCCCTGAAGAGAGCTGACAGCTGTGAACACTCCCATAGCTAGAGTAAGAGGTATTTTATTCCTAAACAGGGATCTGGGCAACGCATCACAGTGTCCACCACAAGAGGTACTAAAATCAGAAGAGTCTAGTTGGTAATTGATTCAAGGGTGTAGTATACAGAAGAAAAATCCGGGCTGGCAACGTATTTGGAGAGTTATCAGTTCAAAAGAGTGTTAATAAGGAAATTGGCAGATGGTATAGAACAAAAATTTCTTTCTGAAACACTTCAAATATGATTACTCTATTGTAAATAATGGTAACTCACATTGCTCAGAAAAGGTGCAAATA